GTTGGTTTCAGTCTGCAGTGTCAGTACTTTTCTGGCCTGAGTTCTCAGTTAAGCAAAACAGAGATGAATGCCTTCTATTAGTCCTTCGGGTAGCTCTTAGACAAGTTAGAATGGAGATACACAAAAATTAACACACAAGGGTTATGCTGCCCTCTCTGGAGTCAAGAACCAGGATTCTCCTCTGGGAACAAGGGCGGTTGCTGCTTTAAGACCAAAACTACTGTTGTGTAGGGGAGGACATGGCAGAGGGCAAGTAAAATTGGGTTACAAAAATTTCCTACCATTTAGAAATATCTTTTTCTCAATTCAGCACTTGCTTGGTTCCTAAAAACCTGTGACTGCTTTCTAGAACTCGTACTGGCAGGTCCTGCTTGTTTTTCTATGTTTCTTTTAGGAAATGAGAACCTGGAGCCACCGTTTTGCCAATGTCAGTCTAGCCTGTGGTCCTTGAAAGTTACGCTGCTGTGGCTTTTTTATTCTCAGAATCTATCAGTATGCTTGGTATCAGAGAAAGGCTGGATAAATGTTGATTAGGCATGTCAATTTGGTGAGCATCCAGGCTCATAGCAGTACATGGATGGGCGCCCATGGCCTCCAGTTTGTTCCTGAAGGCTCTGGAAATACCTGCTCCTTCTGAGTGATAAAGAATGTGGGGACTGATATAGGCCAAAAGCTGCAGGGGGCAGAGAATACCAAGAGGCACAAATGCACAAAGCCAGAACCATGAGTATAGACTTGCTATGCTGTATTCTATTTGTGAATATTCATTTTTAAATGGTTCATGATGATGATGATGTTTACCACTGTTTCAACTCAAGAAAAGGATTTTCTCAAGATTTTTCCAATGCAAAAAAAAAAAAAAATTGATGAGACAATATTATTGTTTAAAATGTTTTAAAAGGCTGGGCAAGGTGGCTCACACCTGTCATCCAGCACTGTGGGAGGCACAGTGAATTGATAGAGCTCAGAAGATTCAGACCAGCCTGAGCAAGAGTGAGACATCTCTACTAAAAATTTAGTGCCTGTAGTCCCAACTACTGGGGTGGCTGAGGCAAGAGGATTGCTCAAGCCCAAGAGTTTGAGGTTGCTGTGAGCTATGATGTCGTAGCATCAGAGGGCGACAGAGTGAGATGTCTCTCAAAAAAGAAAGAAAAAACTGAAATATTAAGCAGTCAGAAGAGCTTTTACCCTATTTTGCCATGTATTACGCTCTCCCACGTTTTGGCCCAAACTTTCAGGAAAATGTTCCTTGAGAAACTGGCTGGCTCTCCCCCAGGAGAGACACATCTGGGGAGTGCTGATGTTCCCTGGCACAGCCCTCCCAGCACTGCTCTGGGAAGGGTGCCCCTTCCTCTCTCCCGGGAGCACTTCCCTCTGTTCCACACTGTGGGCTGCAGCCAAGATGGTCACACACCTGGCTGGTGGCACAGGAGCTTCTGAGGCCACTTGGCCTACAGACAGCCATGTGGGTCCCGGGGGGCTGTGTGGGCCCCCAGGCCTCTCTGTGGGGCTGGACCTTGGGCCTCACTAGCTCTAACACTGCCCCTTTCCCTGATCATGGCCCTTGGCATAGGCTGCTCTGGCCTGGTCCTGCTGGATCCTGGATCTTCCCAGAATGGAACCCCATGAGCCTGGTGGGCCCAGGAGGGAGGGTGGGCAGCCCTAGCAGGCCCGCTGGACTCCCCTGCTCCTGACCCCTACTACCCATGTATAACGCACATCCTTATTTTCCCTCAAAAATTTGAGCAAAAGGTCTGCATTATACATGTGTCATGGATGTATTTCTTGTAAGTCATTCTTATCCATTCTTTAAAGCAGTTTGACCTAGGAGTCCTGCTAGACCATACTTAGCTCAGCTGCAAGAAGTGTGAACATCAGAAAGTTAAAACAAACAAACTCCCCAGTAAGCAGGAGTCCGACTTTTTTGACCATCCCAGCTTTCTCCCGTATATTGTTCAGAGCTTTTGGGACTCAACCAATAGAAATGGTGCCTTGCTGTCTCAAATAAAAGAGCATTATGTATTAGAAGTCTCTTTGGGAAATTGTGAGCCAGAGGATCTGTGTGGAAATGAGTGAGAACCATGGACCTTTATGATAAGAAGAGGCCGGGGTCACACAGGGACCACAGGACCTACCTGTCAGGACCACCTTCCCAGGCTGTTCTCTGGAGTCCAGCATCTTGCTTCAGGCCAAGTCCCGTTCACACCATCCTGGCCTTGCCTGTGTTCTAGGTGGGTCCAAAATGGAGCGTCTGTTGCCTTCTGCTCCTACAGCAAAGCCAAGTCGCCATGTGAAACAGAGGTCAGATGCAGGGCTGCCAAGAGCAAACAACCCAACAAATACCTCTCTGCTTGCAAGATTTGGGTAGGCAAAATGGAAATCATTTTGTGAAGCAACCATTTATTAAGTACTTTATTGAGGTATAATTCACATGCCATAAAGCTCACTTGTTATAAAGTATATGTTTTATTGAGTTCTGGCATAGTCACAGAACTGTGCAGCTGCCACCACATTCTAATTTTAGGACAATCCATTTGTTTTCAAAATTGAAGATAAAGATTTTCTTGTTATGCAACCTTGGATAGATTTGGAAACACATCTGTTCCACAGGGTGGTGTGTCTCCGACCACGACTTCCTCTTGCCTCCTGCTGTTTACCCTTGAAGGCACAAGGAGGGCAGGGGCTCAGGGACTCCAGCAAGTGTGGGTTCTGAGAGACGGCTCTGGCTGTTGTATGGCAAGGTGGCTGGCTGGTCACTTCCTTCCCTCTGGTCCCAAATGATCACATTCTGAAAGGAAGGAGAGGTAAGGAGGCTGCCTGGAATGTTTTGTCTCCTTTATCATCTGCAGACAGAAGTCCCAGTCCCCTCTTTGTACCCGTCTTGGCTTTACTTTTACTCTTTAAAGCTGTGATTCCCACCCCCTGGTGTGCACTGGTACTGGGCTGTGCCGGTTAAGAAATGGGCCACAAAGCAGGAGGTGAGTGGTGGCCGGTGAGCAAAGCTTCATCTGTATTGACTGCCACTCCCCATAGAGTCACCACGCTCTGCGTCCTGTCACGTCAGAGTGGCTTAGATTCCCACAGGACCAGGACCCCTACTGTACTGCACATGTGAGGGATCTGGGCTGTGGCTCTTTATGAAAATCTAACGCCTGATGACCTGGGGTTTGGACCTCAACAGGGTGGTGGAGGTGACAACTTCAGGATCCTGCTGCCTGGCTGGCCCCTCTAAGCACACACCTGGACACGTTGGGCAGAGGACCTCTCTGCTTTGGACAACTAGATTAGCCAGGTTTAGAGGCCATGTAGCAAATGGTACGTGGAGTGTTGAAGGTAGGTGTGGGTGATATCACGAGGTGTCCAAGGAGACTCTCATTTCCTCTCCGCTCACACCCCTTCTTAGTAGATCTCTGTAAAACCTGAGTAAGGTTAGGGCACCCAAGGCAGGCTATACAGGCAGCTGTAGGGATCAAACCAGAAGACTTCGTGGATTGAGAAACCAGGACTACCACTTGGGCAGCTCTAAGAGACAGGTGTAAGCTGAGCGGAGGAACCGCCTGAAAATAAAAGGGAGAGGAAAGTCACAGGCAGAGCTGAGAAGGGGCAGGTGCCTCGAGGGAGAGGTGAGAGGAAGGGGGAGGAAGAAGGTGAATGAAAAGAGCTGCCTGGAGGCGTCCTAACAAGAGCTTCCTTCCCTGGGGTAGTGGCTGGCTTCCTGCCTGGAAGGTGCGGGGAGGCTGCATCAGGACCCGGTGCAGCGGGAAAGTGACAAACCTGTCACCGAGACGACACGGAATGCTTCTTCTTCAAATATTTTATTAATCTGTTTGGCCAAACAGGTAATGGAAACAGAATAGTAATTTGCTAAAAAGTTCAGGTCATGAATGCCCCTTTCCCACAGGAAACAGAAGACTCCATGGTTACAGAATGCACCATTGGGTTATGACAACGTTTCAAAATAAGGTTTCCATTTCATATGTAACAATGTAAACTTCAAAAATAGTAAACTCTAACCCCCGTCCCTCTTTACAGATCTATCACAGATAGAATTTTCTGGCAGACCTAGAGTGTGTAAGTAAACAGCCTGGTGCTTAAAAGTCTCATAAAAAGGTTTACAGATTCAGTAAATAGTTTTTCAGTCTTGGTTGGGAAGTAAAAGCAACCAGCCATCCCCTGCTGCACCGTCTACCTTAAACCGTACTGTGACCACGGACCGCGTTCCACAGACACTGGTCATCAGCTTCGTCGTGTTTGCACACACACACACACACATATATATAGTTTTATTTGTTTCTAAAGTTTTTACATCTAGATTAGAAGACGGCGCCAGTGACTTATCACGTCACCTGGCTTCACAAAGGTAAGATGAAAATTCTGTAGAAGGCACTGAAATTTCTCTTGCATGATCTTACGCAGACACGCGAGAGCAGGCCAGCCTGGGCTTGGGCTTCGCCGTCCCTTCCTGCTTCCTGGCACAAGACTGTCCTCTGATGGTTTTCAATGTCCATTGTCATTTCTGTCTCACCTCTTCGCATCCCAGCCATCCCTCCCTCCCTCCACCCCAATTCATGGACAGTTATCATTTGGTTCATTGAAATTCCTTAAAATTAAGAGTACAGCTCTGGTATAAAACAAAATATGACCTACCATCGCTGAAAAATAATCACAGTGTGCGATGTCATGTTCGGCTGCTAAGATTCAAAACATTTGCCCTGGCTTGTCAAGAACGTCAGTCCTCCAAAACAATCTCTGCAAAGGGTCGTTTGAACCCACTTTACATTCATTGATTAAGCGCTGAGAGGCTCTTTCATCTCCAATCGGTACCGTTAAGTGGAAGGTCTGATGTGGAAAGGGCAAGCAAGGTGGACATGCCAATAATACCATAGAACTTACCGCGGATGACCAGGACTGTACAGGTATGTACACCTTACCCAGCGGGGGCTCCTCTGTCAGGAACACACCTCCCAGTCACACTGTGAGGGTGTCACCACTGAGGGCGAGGGTGTCACCACCTAGAGCGAGGGTGTCACCACCGAGTTCCAGAGCGCCGTTAGCGCGCAAAGGAGGGGCGGGCTCTCCGGCTCTTGCTCTGAGGTCCTGAGCCCAGGTCTGCGCCGCCCTCCGCAGGCTCCTCCTTCTTCCTCACTTTGAGGCGGGTGAGCAGCTTGATCAACCAGACGTCCCACTCTTCTGGGAGGAGCAGGAGCAGAAACCCTAGGCCGATGATGATGATGGCAATGATCCGGACCCCGTTGAAGACTATCTGACTGGTGTAGTGGTCGACCACTGTGGGAGGCAGAGCAGTGGGTTACTCACCTGGGTGGGGGGGCACAGGACCGGGCCTGGGGCATCCCCATCTGCCTGGAGGGGTGGGGTCTTCCCTGAACCACAGAGTCCTCATCAGCTTGGTTTGGTTCCAGCTGTGGCTGCCTGTGGTGAGTGAATCATTCTTCACTTTATAAACTCTCTGGTGTTTGCCCTTGCATTTCACGTCCCCAAACTGAGCTGGCACTGAAGTTCAAACACAGACTTGGGTGAGAGGCAGTGTACAGGTCTACACACACACACACATACACACACACCCGGACCCTTGAGCAACATGGATTTGCATTTTGTTTGGAAGTGGACTTTTTTTGGCCTCTGTCACCTCTAAGACAACAGACCAGGTAACCCTGTCTGCCTCCTCAAAATGCTGATTATGAGGAGGAAGGCCTTAATGCTGATCTACTTCTATTAATGAATGGTCAATGGATTCCCTCTTTTTAATGATTTTCTTAAAAACACATGCTCTTCTCCAGTTTACTTTCTTGTAAGAATACAGAATGTGATATATAACCGTACAAAATATGTGTTAATAGACTTTATCTTATCCATAAGGCTCCTGGTCAACAGCAGGCTATCAGTAGTTGAGTTTACCCAAGTTATATGCAGATTTTCAATTGTGTGAGTGGTTGTAGCCTTTAACTTCCTTTGTAGTTCTTCAAAGGTCAACTGTATTTTAATTTTTTTTTTTTTTTTTTGCGATAGTCTCAAGCTGTCACCTGGGTAGAGCGCCATGGCGTCATAGCTCACAGCAGCCTCCAACTCATGGGCTCAAGCGATCCTCTTGCCTCAGGTTTTCTATTTTTAGTAGAGACAGGGGTCTTGCTCTTACTCGGGCTGGTCTCGAACCTGTGAGCCCAGGCAATCCACACGCCAGAGTGCTAGGATTACAGATGTGAACCACTGTGCCCAGCCCGCGTTTTAATTTTTAATATTGGCAAACCATTCCGTTACTTCAACAGAGGGAGACACTCAGCCAGCCTGTCCCACGAACAGATATTAGGGAATGTTCTAAAAGCTGAGTGATGGCTCCTCCCTGACCAGTCCGACAAGTAGCATCTCCTCTGCTTCTCTCCTGCACTCAGGAGCTGAATGTGATTCCTTCCTTCAACATATCGAAGCTCTTACGTTGTGGTAGTAATAAATTATCGAACACCTGGCTATATTCTATGCTCACAATAGGTCTCTATATAAGACTTGGCTGGAATATGTCTTGGAGAGAAACACCCTGTGACTATAAATTAAAGTTACAAGGAATGTAGGGGGAGTATGTTGATAAGTCATATTTCAGAAGCCCACAGTGTGTCTGGACCACTTTTTACCAGCTATGCAGGAGCTTAGGTTCTTTTTGCATCTTAAAGTGCCGTCCATAGAGTATTTCATTTAATTCTCACATCAACCAGGAGTGCTGAGAACAGAGCTGATGACTTGGGACTCCAGACCTCCAGGGGGCCATGGTGGTGTTGGGTCAGACTCTAGTCTCCTGGCACCTGTCACATTGCTGCCAGGATCCTGATGGCAGAGGTGCTAGTGCCATGCTGGGCATAGAAAGCACATGTGGGACAGGAGAGGAAGAAGCCAATTCACAGGAGAAGGCTCAGGAGACTGAAAGTTGCTTCGCTTGTGTTTCAGGGCGTGTTTAACACCATAAGAGAAGGACATGGCTTTCCAGGGAGGCAGAGCCTCTCATGGCCTGGGAGAGGGAACATTCAGGAGATGGCTCTGGGGGACGCTGTGCCGGGGCCTTGGGGAGGGGGCACTGTTCATAGCCTTCTTCTGGCTGAGAAAAAGATGCACAGGGAGGTTGGGGGTGAGGCCAGGGAATTCTGGGAAAGAGGCCAGGGAATTCTGGGAATAAGGCCAAAATTTATACCCGTGTAAGGAAGGCAGGGAGGGACAGGTGATGACAAGTTTTTGAGAGAGCTGTCTGCAAGACGCAGTGGCAGTAAATCCCCAGCGGAGCGTGGAGTAAGGTCTGAGAGGTTCTCTCTCTTGCTTTCCCAGGAGTGGAGGAAGATGATGTCACCTGTTCCACATCACAGCCTGAGCAAATCTCTCCCCCCGAAAGTTACTTGCAGGTAGTAATTTTTTCCTGCTATTTAATTTTCTACATTTACTGATAATACTAATGACATTCATCTCTGCTCCCCACACCAGTTAGAACAGAAATGGCTTTAGATGTTCTGTGTCTTGATGTGGTGTGTGAAAATCAATCCGTTATGGAGAAAATAGTGTGGATACTACGTATAACCAACATCAGCATTTTATGTAAATGCCCTTTTTTCTTTGCAAAAGGTTTAACATGCATTCTATACCAGGCTCAGAACATATGGGAGTGTATATGTTTGAGTGTGTGTGCAAGTGTATGAGTATGTATATGCATGTGTGTGTATCTGTGAGAGTGTGTGCATGTGTGCAAATGTGTATACATACCTGTATGAGTGTATATATGTATATATGAGAATGTATGAGTGTATGTGTGTGCAAGTGTGTGTGTACATGTGTGCATGTGAGTGTGAGTGCATGTTGTGTGTGCACAAGTATGTATGTGTGCACTGTGTATGCGTGTGTGAGAACGTGTGTATGTATATGTGGTTGTGTGAACAAATGTGTGTAGTGTGTGCAAGTGTGCTCGTGTGAGTGTACATGCGAGTGTGTTTAGGAGCAGATACAGAAAGCCGTGTAGGTTTACCTGCATTCACAGGTACACTGAGGACGATTCCAAGAGACATCAGAGTGGGATAAGTAACGGCGATTCCAAAATTTAATACAATATTGAATGCTGAAAGAAAGAATGCAAGAGGCAGGAGTTACTCGTGAGCACCCTGGGCCTTGCCTCCTGCCTGGCCTGTCTGACCGGAGTTTCTCTGATGAGGCTGGACTCACAGCAACTACAGTGACCCTTCCTTCTGAATAGGTGAACTGGAGGTTCCTCTGGGGGCTCCAGGGCTTGGGATTAGGGACATACAACTTGACTGCTCAGGCCCTCCATTCCCTAAGTTTTGAAGAAGAGAAAAGAAATTTGGAAAAGGCAGCAGTGAGAAGGGACTAGGAATGCTTTGCTTCATTTTGCTGCCAGTGGGGCTTCCGGGATAAGGGTGTGAACAGGAGCTCCAGGATCTGGGCTTGTAGAGGGAAACTGGGCGAGGCACCCCCTTGGTTGCTTTTCTCCTTTTCTAGTAAGTAATACTAGATTTACACTGAGGAGTGGAGATGATGACCATCACGAAGTTAATAATAATGAAAACTGACGGCACTCACTGAACTTGACCAAGAGATCCACACGAGTTACTGTACCAGCCTCATTGAGCCCGACCGAGAGACCCGCACGCGTTACTGTGGCGGCCTCACTGGACCTGACGGAGAGATCCGCACACGTCACTGTACCGGCCTCACTGGACTGGACCGAGAGACCCGCACGCGTCACTGTACCAGCCTCACTGGACCCGACCGAGAGACCCGCACGCATTACTGTGCCAGCGTCACTGGACCTGACCGAGAGACCCGCACGCGTTACTGTGCCGGCCTCACTGGACCTGACCAAGAGATCCGCACACGTCACTGTACCGGCCTCACTGGACTGAGAGATCCATATGTGTTACTGTACCGGCCTCACTGGACCCGACCGAGAGATCCACACGTGTCACTGTGCTGGCCTCACTGGACTGAGAGATCCACACGCATTACTGTACCAGCCTCACTGAACCGGCCCCACTGGACCCGACCGGGAGATCCACATGCGTTACTGTACCGACCTCACTGGACCCGACTGAGAGATCCCCACACGCGTTACTGTGCCAGCCTCACTGGACCTGACCGAGAGATCCGCACA